CCTGAGGAGTGGGGAGAGGGAGGTAGCCTGGAGGAGGGGGGGAGAGGCAGCCTGGAGGAGGTGGGGAGGAGCCTGGAGGTGTGGGGGAGGGGAGGTAGCCTGGAGGAGTGTGGGAGAGGGAGGTAGCCTGGAGGAGTGTTGGGGAGGGAGGCAGCCTGGAGGAGTGTTGGGGAGGGAGGCAGCCTGGAGGAGTGTGGGGGAGGGAGGTAGCCTGGAGGAGTGTTGGGGAGGAAGATAGCCTGGAGGAGGAGACGGTAGTGTACAGGGGACACGTGGAGGGCACTGTAGAAGGTCAGTCTGCTAAGTGGACTGGGTGCCATTAATGTATCCATGAAGTAGCCAGAATATCAGGGAGTGCCATCTCTCAGTCTGGAGGTTAGGTTAGGTGAGACAAAAGTAAGATGAGATATTTTGAGAATCCATAGTTATATTATAGGTTAAGTGAGAGAATTAAGTAAACTTTATTTTATTTAATTACGAGATAGAGATAATTGATCTAACACGCTCATTCACTCACTCACTCACTCACTCACTCACTCACTCTCTCACTCACTCACTCACTCATCCACACACTTATTCCCAAACACACACACATACCCACACACGAGAGAGAGAGAGAGAGAGAGAGAGAGAGAGAGAGAGTAAAGGGAATAGAGGAGAGAGAGAAAAAATGGATGATGGGGAGAGAAAGCAAGAGGGAGGGATTTAGAGAAAGAGTGCAATGGGGACGAAATATGAAAAGAGAGTAAGAGAAAGGGGGAGGAATGGCGAAAATGAGAAAGAAAAAAGAGAAAGAGAGAGAGAGTGTGTTAGGGATGTCCTCTGCAGAATCAGGACATCATCATCATCGTCATCATCATCACATCATCATCATCATCATCATCAGGCTGTTAGCGTGGGCGTAACACAACCTGCCCCAGGCTCAGCTACCCCCTATTAACACCGGGTTATACTCCCTACTATGTTGCTGTTGATGCAATTCCTCAGTAAGATACACACACACACACACTCATGTACACAATTATAATCTCACCAGGTGTACAAACTCAGACATAAGCGAGGGAGTCAGCAGTAGAAACGAAAGGCAAACTGTAATATCCTGCTGGTGATGATGGTGCGTATCGAGAGGAAGGAAATACAGCCTCGTCAGTAATAGTGAGGAAGGAGAGGCATCCATTATTATTACGACGGTCTCCACGGATGTATGACTGAGCATTACTACACCTGTGAGCTTATTACACAACCTAATAACACGTCCAATGTAAATAACGTGAGGACCAAGCAGTGTGTGGGCGTCACTTGGAGAGAGAGAGAGAAAAAAAAAGATACTAATTATTATTCTCAACATCTTCTGCAATTGCACTCGGAGGTTATCAATCCTTTATTCCAATCTTTTTTTGGGGGGGGCGTCTTCCAATCGAGTGTAATTGCTTATTTGGTTCTTCAAGCGGTGTAGTAAGAGGTGGGTAACCAGATGTAAACATTGGCCTGTATGGTTTCAGCGCTCCTCAGGTTGGGCAACATCCGCTCTTCTCTCATCTCGGGAGCTTATCGTTTTATGAAGTGTATCCGACAGCGGGGAGATATGTGACTGAAATTATATATACTTTGTTATATGTCAAGGACGTTGGGTAGATCGTCTATATACTGTATATGCTGGGTGTATAGTTAATATGATGTTGCTGTGTGTGAGGGTGGATATGTGTGTGTCTTATGAGCGTATGTGTATAATGTGTATATTTTCTTTGTGTGCCAAGGATGTTGGTTATAATATTAAGACATACACTGGTATTATACCTAATGAACGAAGGTTATACCTGGGAGCCAGATTGGAGTAACATGTACATTTTTTTTCAGTGATAATTTTTATTTATTTATTTTATTTTTATTTTATTTATTTATTCATTTATTTTTGTGGGTAACGTAAAAATTTCCTTATCAATATTTTGGGGAGTACCTCGAAAAATTTATAGGGTTCTTTGTAAAATGTTCAGGATTTCTCGTAAAATTTTAGGGAAGCCGTATATAATGTTAAGACTTCCTTTTAAATATTTTAAGATACATTGGTTCTCAAGTTCGTGTAATAAAACAGAACATCAACAATGGTCCGGTACAGTGCAGCGATACAGCATACAGCCATACAATGATACAGTGGTACAGTGGTAAAGCGAATTAGTGAAACGACATTAAAGTGGTAATAATGTACTGATTCAGCAATACTGTGTTGCAGAATTGTATTGGTACAGTGGTCCCTGAATACAGTGGTATTCTTCACATTGTTACACTGTTAGAGCACTACATTGGTACAGTAAAGTGAATGCTACCTTATTAACAGTGGTACCTTGTTACCCTCAACAACAACAGCAGCAAGGCGCCACCTTTCTCTAATAATAGCCACCGTCTTTCCTCCTCCACACTTGTGAACTTGTACCCATCATGAGGTCACGTTCATCACGACTCTTAAGGTCACAAGGTCACGTTGGGGGGCGTGGGCGGGGTGTGTGCCGAGAGGATGGGGGTGTGGTAAGGGTGTAGAGGAGAGGATTTGGGGGCGTGGTATTGGGATCAGGGGGAGGGAGAGAAAGGGGGTAGGGGGGATGAGGTAATGATGTTGTGATGCTGATGTGTGTGTGTGTGTGTGTGTGTGTGTGTGTGTGTGTGTGTGTGTGTGTGTGTGTGTGTTGTGTGTGTGTGTGTGTGTGTGTGTGTGTGTGTGTGTGTGTGTGTGTGTGTGTGTGTGTGTGTGTGTGTGTGTGTTGTGTGTGTGTGTGTGTGTGTGTGTGTGTGTGTGTGTGTGTGTGTGTGTGTTGTGTGTGTGGTTTATTGAAAGAGCTTGGCAGCCAGAAGGCTGTGTGTGTCCATGGAAGGATAAGGAAGCTGGATCAGTTTGGTACAACACTTTCGTCATTATTATTAAGTAGTTAGAAGCAATAACCTGAACGAGGGTGGGTGATTGGGTAGAGTGTATTGGTGTGTTTGTTAGTAACGTCTACATCACGTTCCCAAAGACGGACACGTACACGACCGTCCATGACTGTAAAGCACCGCCAATTAGCTAAATCTCTCTGTCCGCCTGACTCCTCATCTGGGTATCCAACTATTCGACCTTTCATTTTTTCCAATCATCCAGTTGTCAAAAAATTCAGTCATTCAGTCATCCACTCGCCCAATCATTCGGTCATCCAGTCACCCATTCACCCAATCGTTCAATCATTCGGTCATCCAGTCACTCGCGAGATGACCCGAAGCTGAGGGAGGTTTTGAGGCTTCTTTAATTAAGTGTATCCTTCCCTCCATCAACACCCTCCCTCTACCCTCCACCTCCCCCCACTCACACCCTCCCTCCACCTCCCTCCACCCACACTATCCCTCTATCCTCCATCTCCTTCCACCTTCCACCTCCCTCCACTCATTCACCCTCCTTCTACCCTCCACCTCCTTCTACCCTCCACCTCCCTCTACTCTCCACCTCCCTCCACACCTCAACCTCCCTCCATCAACACACCCCCCTCCACCCCCCAGGTAATGACGTGGGTGTACAGGGGTGAAGCTCACCTGTGCTGATCGGTAACACAAATATTACGGTCTAGTTGTAGCTTCAGCGACCGTGTAAACCTACGGCGTCATCACTCCTTATATGATTAAGTAATTTATGAGCGCTTAGTAATAACAATAAAAATAATAACAATAATAATAAGAAGAAGAAGAAGAAGAAATAGAAGAACAAGAAATAGAAGAAGAAGAAATAGAAGAAATAGAAGAATAGCTGCAGTTATTTTCAGTGGTGTAGTCCTTGGGAAAAAACGATAGAAATTCTACGTATATTTTTTTTTTTACAGTGATAACTTTATGGCACACAGCTGCATTATGTCATGAATTAAATACAGTATTGCTGTGAAACAGTAATATTATTCGAGACTGTGAGGGTGTGGGTGAGGCGGCCACATTAACAAACATTACTTGTGATGTGAACTCGTAACTCACTTTGTTTACTGTCGCGTCTGGTAACAGTGATCACTTTGTGTGTTGTATGAGCGAGCGTGTTGGTGTGACACAGCAGGTGACTCACTGGTGCGTTACGATCACAGAGAAACAATAATGTCCTCACTGTCATTTTTTTTTGTCTTTGTAGATAATTGAAATTCTGGAATAATATACTGTAAATTAATTAAGAATAGAACGTCTTATGAAGTGGGTGTAAATCATGTAGTAACCTTTCATACAAAAATCAGTCTTGCTTACTTCATATACAACACAAAGATTAGTCTCACAAAATCATCAGACAACTTTTCCCTGAACTAAATTACAACAACCCAGAACCAACTGACGGGTATAATTACATCGAAACAACCATTCAGACTTTACCGGTACTAATTAGGTCTTTATAAAGGGAGGGAGTTTTAAGGTACAGTGTTGTGTGGTAATCTTAGTCGAGGTTCTAAAGTTACCCCTCGCCTTTATGACGTTTTCTTTCTTAGTCGTTCTGTTCGCCTTCCTCACTCTCCCTCCCTCTTCTGTTTTTTCTTTGGTGTATTTATTCCTCCTAATTTACGTTTATGGAATATTACTCTTCCTCGTTTATCATTATTTCCTCTCCTCTTTATACGTCAATTCCTTCACTTGCCGTTTGAGTAATAACATTTATTTTATACTATTATTTACCGTTTTCTTTGGTAGAAAGTTTCTTCGTCTTCTTACTTTCAATTTCTTTCATATTTTGGCAATATAACCAGTTTGTCTATTTCACTTGTTTTTCTCCTATTTATTCAGTGCAGTATTACCAATTTTCTAAGCTCTATGCAACCAATTTCACCGTTTTCTCGACTCAATTTCTCGTCTTAATAGTGGTGCCAATTTTATTATATTTCACAAGCGGTATATTTTTGGGCTTCCCATTTCACCAGCGTTACCAATTTTCCTCCCCATTACATCAGTGTTACCAAAGCATTTAAATCAATTTACTGACAGCTGTTTCCTCCTCTCTCTTCCTCAACAGGAGTATGAGTGCCTGGCGCTTGACGACGGCAGCGGCGGTATTGGTGTTGACGTTGACACTGGCGAACACTCAAAAAGACCACGAGAATGAGTTCGGATGTCATTGTATGGAGTATTGGACTTGTATTACCAGGTATGTACAGTATATTGAACGTATACATACTGAGGGTATATTATTATTATTATTATTATTATTATTATTATTATTATTATTATTATTATTATTGTTGTTGTTGTTGTCGTTTTTGTTAGTGTTATTATTGTTGTTGGTCTTATTGGCATTATATTTATTATTATTATCGGTATCACTTATTGTTTTCCCTCTCCAATCAATCACTAACTCCCCCTCACTAACTCCCCCTCACTAACTCTCCCTCTCTCCCTCACCCCCAGCGGAGGAGAGCCCTACAGCTACTGCGGGTTGAGTGCCTCCAGCGTGTGTTGCTTCGTGCCCCTCAACGCCAATCCTATAGGTATCCTGCCGCTCCGTAGCCGCAACAAGTCCTGCGGGACGAAGGGCGCTGATAGTAAGAAGGAGGGCCAAGCCGAGATGTCTGAGTGGCCCTGGCATGTGAGTATCTATCTCCTGTGTGTGTGTGTGTGTGTGTGTGTGTGTGTGTGTGTGTGTGTGTGTGTGTGTATGTGTGTGGTGTGTGTGTGTGTGTGTGTGTGTGTGTGTGTGTGTGTGTTAGAGTGAGAGCGTGTATGTATATGTGCAAAAATCAATATCGTCGCTTTATTTTGTATAATCTGTATTCTGTATAGTGAACTAATACACTGCCTCAGGAGGACGCCCCTCCCCCCCTTTGTGTTGTTATTCTCTCTAACGTTCATTAACGACCCAAATCTTTTAATTTTTCAATAGAATTATCAGGTATTATTCATAGGTGATCTTTAAAGGTTTTAATCATCGGGGACTTTATTAACGAGGCAACGACCTTGTTGACAACCTCAGTGTATCTCTCACCAGGTGTTGAGGGTTCACCTGTCACATGTGGTTTCTTTCTCTATAAGGAAGTAAAGACAGATTACAGCGCCAGCCTCACTATCTTTGTGTAACTGAGAAGAAAGTGTTAGTATATTGTATCTACACTGCTGGCCCCTACCCTTCTATAATTCATTGTCACTTTTACCTTCACGTTCTCAGCTTCATTATTTGGTATAAGCTGGTGTGTCCTTCCATAATTAACAGGTGACAGTAACTTTTGTCATGTTTACCTTTTTCACATCATCTTACGCTTACCATGTTCTCTGACGCTTTGTCTTGTATTGTGAGCGTTAGTATTTTTTTTTAAGTTTTTCTTATTTACCCATTTGTTTATGATAATCTCTTGCTTACGTTTACAATTTTCTTGGTTTTTCATTTGTTTGTAATGAATAGTGTTCTACGATCGTCTATTGTGTCCTGTTTTTATTTGTTTACGATCTTCATTTGTTTTGCAGGCGGCCATCTTGGAACAGCCACAAGACCTTTACGTGTGTGGCGCTTCCCTGCTGGACGAAGCTTGGGTCCTCACCGCCGCCCACTGTGTTGACGACTAGTGAGTGTCACCTCTCACCCACCCAGTGTTTGTTATCGTTGTGTGTGTGTGTGTGTGTGTGTGTGTCCTTCACCTCAGGTCAACCCGGTGTTGTATCATCGCGTTATTCTTGTGTTTTTCATCCGTGTGTATCCGCGACATCCTCTTCATTTCCGTAAAGCTTTGTCGATATTTCAGTTCATGAGGATGACTATATCTGGGGTCGGCCGTCAGTCCGTCGTTGTCCTTCGTTTTTCTTTGTCGTCTGTCCGTCCATTCCTAAGACAGCCGGCCCCTCGTCTAGACAGTGTTTGACGTCATCAATTCCATTCCAGACGGTGTGACATACCTTGAGAGCCTCCTGTGTCTTACGGCCCCGTTACTATGATCACTTAGCTGATCTATTGCTTACAATCTGCCGTGAATGGAGTCAAGCTGATGGGCTCCCCTTCACAAGTTACCACACACTCGAGTTGCATCAGCTGACTAAACTTCCCATTCACCAACTTACTGACCAATTAACTTTCGCCACTTCCTGAGTCTCACCCAATAGTGTTTATTGTTGCTTCTCATCAGCCATTGGTGGAGCTTCCCATTCATCAATTTCTGACCAATCAACGTTTATCTCCCCCTACTCCTTCTCATTCACTGTTAATCACTGTTGCTTGTCATCAGCCAATGGTAATGTAGTAAAGGATTGGTATATATATATTTAATAGATTTAAATATTTGAAGTTAATAACGGCCCAGATGTCAGTTAGTGTTTATTTTAAAGTCAATGGGAAGAAGCAGTAATAGTAGTAGTAGTAGTAGTAGTAATTTTAAGATAATAAAATGGCGACGAAGGTGTGGCTATTGGGGGAGGCTGGAGGCCAATGAAAAAAAGTAGTAGTAGTAGTAGTTTGTAGTAGTAGTTATAGGTAATAGTACCAGTCATCATAGTAGTCGTCGTAGTAGTAGTAGTAGTAGTAGTGGTAATCTTAAGTAATGTTGTTAAGTTGTTTTAGCAGCACTGTCGGTTATGGTATTGTTAGTTAGTACAAGTAGTAGTTGTAGTTATTGTTATTATTATTATTATTAGTAGTAGTAGTAGTATTGGTGTTGTTATTGTCATTGTTGTTGTTTATATTATTGTTATTATTGTCAGCTGTTTGGCGAGAGTCGACAACATGAATGAGACTTAAAAATAATCCATTCACATCCTAACCTTATATAATCCTAACACACTAAAAAAAGTATTCCCACATAATCTTAACAAATCCTAACTTTTTAATATGTCATATAATCCGGCACATTTTAGCCTTAAATTACATCCTAACTTTATATTGCCTAATCCTAACACATCCTAAGCCTGTGTCACATAATCCTAACACATCCTAATCCCACATAACCTAATCCTATCTCATCCTACCCACTTGACAGGTAAGGCTCACACTTCCTCCCCTGTCAGGTCTTGTGCATTTCATTATTATAATTTATGTTAATTATCTTGTAAAATTACCTCCCTCCATCGGTGCTGTGTGTGTGTGTGTGTGTGTGTGTGTGTAGTGGAGTCCTGCATCAGGCAGACATGCTTACAGAGCTCCAACAAGACCCCAACGGCGGTATAAGCGGAAGAGGTGACCACCTTGGGAATCCAACTACTACACCGGCGGATGAAGGCAATGCCTGATGGACAGGCTACTAAGGCGAAACCTAACAAACTGGGCTATCGGCAGTCCATTGCAACTCTCCCTCTTCCCAGTCGTTGCAACACTTGTACCACTGGACCAGGAAAAGGGAGAGCCAAGACGTGTGGTTGCAGCCTGCGCTCCTGCCTCACCACATAAATTAACTCACGCGCAGCCAACATCCAGCTCATCATATTTTCCATCATCATCAGAACCCCTATACCCCCCAAAGACCTAACCTAACCCAACCCAACCCAACCTAACCTAAGCAACGCAGTCAAGGATAAAAACCAACAAAATTACGTCTTTGTAAAGTTAAACCACAATTATTAACGCTCTTCTTTCGCCAGCCTGGAGAACGGCGATCGCCTGCCGGAGGTGCTGAAGGTTCGTCTGGGGGAGTATGACGTCAGCACTACGGCCGAGCCCTTGAAACACGAGGAGTTCCCCGTCACCCGCGTCGTCATCCACCCCGAGGTGAGTCATCCACCTAACTCATTTATCGGAAATTAAATATTCACCGAGATAGGTCATCCATCTGAACTGAGTCATCCACCTTAGTCATCCATCCCAGGTTACTCATTTACCCCGAGCGAGTTGAATCATGTACTTGCGTCATCCATCTTATGACTCATCCACCTGATTCATCAACAGTTTAGTGAGTTATATACATAACTATAGATACACACACACACACACACACACACACACACACACACACACACACACACACACACACACACACACACACACTTGTCAACCCTCAGTGAGATAGGACGTGCCTGAAGGCGCTCTCGGTTTTAGCAGCCAGGCCGAATCTGTTTGGCCCTGCCCACCCCCCCTGGTATACCCCAACGCCCTACCAGCCTTACCACACCAGGATCGATTCAGCAAAACATTCTAGTGATTAGTGAACGAATGATTACGGAGCAGTGTTCCTATAGTGCACTTAAGGAACTTTCTCGGCAAAACATTCTAGCCATCAGTGCAATAAGTGATTACCATACAGTGCTCGATAGTGCACCCCAAGGAAAAGTCAGACAGTGGGCACTTTATCGGTCAACTTTAAAGTGCCAGTGACAAGGACCACCGCGGTGTTTACATATATCGTGAAAACTGTGTCGGCGACCCCAAGCACCGAGGACAAAGTCCACGGTCTTTACAACTGACAAACATTAACAGATGTCTACCAGTGTCAGTGTCCCTCAAAGTGCCGCCAGTGACGAACACTTCCGTCCGCCCACAACAGATTTCAACCGATGGCCACCAATCACTTACTCCCGACGCACTCTGTATCATCTAAAGCGTGGGAACGGTTATCCTGATGGGAGTGTTATCGCGCTACTCAAGTCACTGAAAATATTCCACGCGCGGAGCCGTAGACAAGGCCGTCATGCACATAAGCCCATTAGAACCGTAACCTCCACTAGGAAACCGGAGAAACCCACCCCTGACAGACCATACCATCACACTGAAGTTCCACGGATATGGTATGATCTCCCATCTTTACTGCTATCCAACGTCACTTCCCTAGCTAACAAGTTCGACGAGCTGGCAACTACAGTCAGGTCAACCGCCGCGCGCGTGGTTGCCATATGTGAGACTTGGCAAATTGTACCTGAAACGTGTCACATTGAAGGATATCAACTCTTTCATCACCTTCGTCCACAAAGACGCGGAGGGGGCGTTGCCCTCTTCTGTCAAGATGACCTACGCCCGTCACGCCTGGATGTTCAAGTCCCAGCAGATGTGGAAGCATTATGGGTACGTGTCGTGCTGCGGGCACACCCACGCAACACTGCTTCCATTATTATCTGTGTGGTATACCATCCGCCTCGATCACCCACCAGAGACACTCTTATCAATCATCTCATCACCACCTCAGACCACCTCAGAGTTAGGTACCCATGTGCCAAGTTAGTATTATGTGGGGATTTAAATGAAATTGACACCACTGATATCCAGGACCAGCTATCACTATCACAAGTTGTGACCTTCCCCACACACGGTCAAAACACCCTTGACCTTATCTTAACTGACTTAGCGGACCAGTACCAACCTCCTCAACCACTGCCTCCTATCGGGTGTAGCACACACTTATCAGTGCTCTGGTCCCCTGCTGCCACTCCCACTCAAGTACAGAGACCCTACATCAAGACCTACAGGCCGATTACTGACTCTGCAGTACGCCTCTTTGGACAGTGGATAGTTCACTATCCCTGGACTGAAGTACTCAGCGTGGATGACGTGGAAACCAAATGGATAAATTATACCAACACCACCACCGAAGCTCACCACCACTTCTTCCCCGAGAAGTCCGTCAGATCTCACCCAGCTGACTTGCCCTGGATCACACCTCGGATCAAAAGACTTATGCAACAGAGAGACAGAGCATTTCATCTCAATGACCACATCCGCTACAGGTCACTTCGCAACAGAGTCATCCGCGAAATACGCACTGCAAAGAAGTCCCACTACCCAACCAAATTACAACACCTGAAGCAGACCAACATCAGTCAATGGTATGGTAAGCTTAAAGAACTCTGTGGACTAAACAATATGACACACCCCCTCCCCTTCCTTAGCCATCTCACTAATGTTGACGCAGCTGAGCAAACAAATAACCATTTCGCTACTATATGCCAGACGCTCCCACGGCTTGACACAACCACTCTCCCTGCTTACCTACCAGCCCCCCTTCCCACTGACTTAGTAGAGGAATTTGACGTAGCAAAACGCCTGGACAAACTAAAATTAAAACGCTCTACCACCCCCATTGACTTACCAATGAAACTATTCAAGGAGTTCTCCCCGGAGCTTGCTAAACCCCTCTGCTCCATCATCAATGCTTCTCTCAGTCAAGCCAGATGCCCAGCTGACTGGAAGACCTCTTATGTATCACCAGTGCCCAAGTCAACCAGCCCACAATCCTTAAATCAGCTACGACCTATTGCAATCACCCCAATACCCAGCCTAATCTGTGAAAGTTTTGTGTTTGACTGGGCTTATGCTGATATTGCAGGAGTCGTAGACCCTCAGCAATTTGGCAACATGAAAACTTCCTCCACCACTCACTGTCTTGTCAGCTTTCTCGATTACATATACCGCCATCTCGAGAAACGAAAAACGTCTGTAGCTGTCGCCTTCATTGATTTCACTAAAGCGTTCGACCTAGTCGACCACAATATAATCATAAACAAAGCTATTGACCTCGGGCTTCGGAGAAGTCTCATACCATGGCTTACAGACTTCCTCAGTGACCGACGCCAAGCTGTACGCTTCCGAGGGGCTGTCTCCACCTTTCAGTCACTCACCTGTGGCGTCCCCCAAGGCACCAAGATGGGACCACTCTGCTTCCTTATGCTCATCAATGATGCCCTAAGAGAAGCCCCTGCTCGCTGGAAATATGTCGACGACTCCACCATTGGGATCAGCGTCAACAATTCCGCTCCCAACTATACCGCCCTTCAGGATTTATTGAACAGTCTCCAAAACTGGGCCACCAACAACCATGTCACCATCAACCATACCAAGACAATGGTTATGCACATCAACCTCTCCTCCGACATTGTCCCACCTCCTTCCATTACCCTAGGTCCGAACACACTCCAGGTTGTAGATTCCACGAAGCTCCTCGGCGTCACCATAGACAACAAACTAAATTGGAAACCACACGTCAGTGAAGTTGTCAAATCCTCCAGTTTCCGTCTCCACCTCCTCCGCCGACTCAAGTCCCTCGGAGTTCCTGCACACGAGCTCCTCAGTGTATACACAACATTCATACTTCCCAAGCTCACCTATGCCTCCCCCACCTGGTCTTCCTCCCTAAATGCCACACAACGTAAACACCTAGAAAAAGTGCAAAAGAGGGCATGCAAGATTATTCTCTCCCCTTCCTACTCCACATATCAAGAAGCGCTCAACACACTGACCCTTTCGACTCTCACTGACCATCACCACGGCCTCATCTGCAAATTTGGTAAGAAGCTTCTACACCATCCCCGACACCGGCCCCTACTACCACCTGAGATCCCCTGTCCGAGAATTGCTGTTCGACACCACAACCGCATCCAGCCCATACGTGCACGAACTGATCGCTATAAGAACAGCCCAGTCCCAACCATTGTAAAAATTATCAATAACATGTAATAAATCAGTGTATTCACTCCCAGTAAACACTGCTCCCTACACTGTCACTATGTTGAAATGAACTGTATTTTGAGCTGATCCCCATCTAAGTTACTATATGTCTTATTTGTGTCACTTATGTCACTTGTATATTATTTGTAATTCGTAACCCATTCCCCAAATATGTAACTGTATATTTTCAGCCTTCTGGCTGCCAAGCTCTTTCAATAAACCGTTAATTATTATTATTATTATTATTATTATTACACACACACACACACAATCAACTTTTGGCCTGTCTATCTATGAAGGACAAACTATTTACTAAACAAACAGCTCAAAATAAACACTACGGACATGATACTAACTCCCCCCCCCCGTGACCATGATAAATAACGAGCTAGAGACGCTGCTGTTACCGTAAATTACTGTAGTCACCGCTGGAAACTGTCTCACGTCACCGTTTTCTTTAACCCCTAACTATCTTGTCAGGGCATCTCTATAGTAAGTTAATTTGGGCGCCATTCACACCAAACTGTTATCATGTTGTTAATTGATTTCTGGGGGCCACAAAGACATAGATAGACATACAGTTATAAATAGACACAGACGAAAACAGTTAGACACACACATAGACAGACAGATACAGACAGACACACATAGACACACAGACATGGACAGACATAGACAAACACACACATAGAGACAGACACACATAGACACACATAGACACACAGACAGACATATACAGACAGACACACACACATATAGATGCATAGACAGACATACAGACATATACAGGGCACACAGATATAGACAGACACACACACACACAGACACACACATAGACACACATGTACAGACAGACACACAGATATAGACAGACACACACATATGGATACACATATAGACAGAAATACAGCAGACACACATATAGATGCACAGACATACAGCCATACAGACAGACAGATACAGACAGACACACATAGACACACAGACATGGACAGACATAGACAAACACACACATAGAGACAGACACACATAGACACACATAGACACACAGACATAGACAAACACACAGACAGACAGGACCGAAAACATTACCTTGACCCGAACTTGAGACTCAGCTCAGCGTGACGCAGACCACCGGTGGCCACTCATTAACCTGTACAAGTTTTAACAAGGTAGCGAGCACACCCACGAGCCTCTGACACACACACACACACACACACACACATACATACATACATACATACATACATACATACATACATACATACATACATACATACATACATACATAAATATACGCACAGTCTCTCTCTCTCTCTCTCTCTCTCTATGATTTTACCAACGAATGCTATAACTTTTGAGGATTAATATCGCTTTTGTAACTATTTATAAACTTTTCTGATACTCTTAGCCATAAATTAGTGATTTTAGACCATTATCACGTAGTATGATCAGTTAGCCACTCACAGGCTGTTACGTCATATAGCGGGAGCCACTCATAAGCCGCCACGTCATTTCTTGGAACCACTCATTGGGTGCTCGTTTTCAGACTCTAATGACAACTATAGATACAGATTATGGTGTAAACAACATTGATGGTGACGTAATGGTGGTGATTTAAACGGCACTGAAGAGAAGGTTAAATGATCCTCAATTAACCATAACCATTAACCTTAAAGGGAAGATATTTTTTTAACCTAGAAATTAATAGACCATGTATGTCAATAATGGTGTCTTGACCTGGAAATTAATAGGAAACGTCTCTTTAACAGTCATTCAGTGTCTGGTAGAGAAACCGTCAAGAGACAGGTGTGAAGGTGTTATTGTCACGTTAATTAAAGCCTCCCACACCTGTTGTCTCCCTCCCTCCACTACGTCTCCCCCTCACCCTCCCTCTCTCACTCCCTCCTTCCCTCCTTTCCTCCCTCCCTCCTTCCTTCCCTCCCTCCCTCCTGTGTTTGCCACGGGATATTTACTGAGAAATACTTACTGGTGATGTTATTAAGCGCAAGTTTCGTAATAAGACACATTTTTCCCTTCATTTTTGACTCTATATTACCGAGAATCAGTCAATGTGTACGTGAACCAGGAAGGCATCAGGTCCAATGAACCGTAAGTGTCGTATAATCTTACCATGAAATATCTAAGGCAATAAACCATAGCATGATGTTATTATACACCTGAAGGGGAGGTTAAGGGTATAGTCATTAAGGGGAATCAATATGCTCTTGTCTGTCATTAAGGGTAACTACTCTAATAAGCCAATAACAGTTAAAGTAACGATGTAATCTATCTGGTTTTTTTATCATTATCGTCACCAGGGCTAATTAATATTATATTTATGGCTCTATGACAGACTAACGATCTCAGGTCATGCGAGTCTTAGTTTTTACACCTCAGAGAAGAGAGCCAGGATGGTGCTCTATTGTGTGTGTGGTGAAGATGGCGGCTGAAATGGCGTCGAAATTGCACTGAGACTGTCAACTTATTCCATTTAGGCTCTAAGATTTAACTTAGGAATATTAAATCACGTGTGTCCTGATTGGCGGACATTATCACGTAGTATGATCATCTAGCCACTCACAGGCTGTAACGTCATATTGCTGGAGCCACTCATAAGCCGTTACGTCATTCCCTGGAACTACTCATAGGGCGCCAAGTCATTCACTTTATAGCCACTCATAAGTCACACACACACACACACACACACACACACACACACACACACACACACACACACACACTTATTATCAAAATCATCAGTTATTACGTTAAGTTGAGACACCAATATCACCCACTCAGGTATACAATAACAGACCCGCCAAGGCTTAAGTGACCCCCGACTCCCCTCCTCTACATGCTAAGTCATTATACATTTAATTAAACCCATTACGTTTAATTGAGGCTCTTGACGAAGCTGCCTCCACGAGCGCAATATATGTAATGTTATTTACCGGCCTTAATTACCCTCATTAGTTCAAACACTTCGTTACATTGGTCGCTGGCGGTAGCTGAGTCATTGGGCGTTTGGTGTAGTGGATGTTGGTGAGGGGAAGTGAGAGGGAGGATCAGGCAGGGAGTGTGAGAGGGAGAGTGAGAGGGAGGATCAGGCAGGGAGGGTGAGAGGGAGGATCAGGCAGGGAGTGTGAGAGGGAGGAGAGGGAGGATCAGGCAGGGGAGTGAGAGGGTGAGAGGGAGGATCAGGCAGGGGAGGTGAGGGGAGGATCAGGCAGGAGGTGAGAGGAGGTGAGAGGAAGATCGGGCAGGGAGGTGAGGGGAGGATCAGGCAGGGAGGTGAGGAGGGAGGATCAGGCAGGGAGAGTGAGGGGGAGGAGGGCAGGGAGAGTGAGAGGAGGATCAGGCAGGAGAGTGAGAAGGAAGGTAGTAGGGAGAGTATGGGGGGTGGTAATGAGGAGGAAGAGTGAAATAAGAGGAGTTAACAGGAGATGAGGAAGAGACAGAAGAAGAAGAGAGACTGGACAAAGATAAAGGAATTGGAACAGAGGACGAGAAGAGAAGACAGTGTTTGAAATTTTTGCCCTGGGTGATATTGTCAAGCTTAGTCTAGGTTAGGTTAGGTTAGGTTAGGTCAGTTTAGTCCAGGTTATGTCAGATTAATCTAGGTTAGGTCATCTTAGTCTCTAAGTTATAGGTTAGTTCAGCTTAGTTCAAGTTTGTTCAGTTTAAGGTACAGTAGGTTAGGTCAGCTTAAAGTACGATAGGTGAGGTCAGCTTAAGGTACAGTACTTTAGTCTCGGCTTAAGGTACATTAGCTTAGGTAAACATAGGTACAGTAGGTTTGGTCAGCTTAAGTACAGTAGGTTAGGTCAGCATAAAGTACGATAGGTGAGGTCAGCTTAAGGTACAGTACTTTAGTCTCGGCTTAAGGTACAGTAGGTTGGTTCAGCTTAAGGTACAGTAGGTTAGGTCAGCTTAAGGTACAGTAGGTTAGGTCAGCTTAAGGTACAGTAGGTTAGGTTAGGTAAGATACAGTCCAGTCCAGGTTAGGTTAGGTTTCATGAGCCATACTTAACACTGTTAACGTCTCATTCATGGTTCTGCTTCAATGGTCTCCAAGATAAACACACGCAATTATCTCTCGTCGCCTTACAATGGGTCGTTACAATGATGGGTTGGGGGTCGTAGGTAAGGCGGTATGAAACACGTTATGGACAGGTATGAAACGTGAATGTGGTCCTTGTCTCGTTTTTTGTTGTTGTTGTTGTTGACTTGGATTATGGATGTGTGGGGTTGATGTTTTGTCTTCTCTCTCTCTCTCTCTCTCTCTCTCTCTCTCTCTCTCTCTCTCTCGTTGTTTATATCCATGTAGCTAACAAAGCGATAACCCGTTCGCGTATCGTCTTGGAGCCGGATTGACCCGCGTTCGCACACTCTACTAACCGGATTCACTACGACACAGAGATGGATTTTTATTGTAACTTGTCATGTGAGAGTCAGCATCCTCCCCTTCCCCCCCTCAAAAACCACGGCTGTTCGTCCCAATCCTTCCTTCCCCCATCCCCTTCCTCTCACCCCTATCTATCACCCTTTTCCCCTTTAATTCCCTCCCCCACCACTAACCCTTTTCTTCTCTCCTTACCACACTTCACCCGCCTCCATTAGCACCTCCTCCTCTCCTCCTTGGCCCTTCCCTTTACTTACCTCCCCAACCTCACAAAAGACAACCATAAACTATAATTAGCAAGGAAGACCAAACGTTACACACACACACACACACACACACACACACACACACACACACACACACACACACACACACACACACACACACACACACACACACACACACACACACACACACACACACACACACACACACACACACACACACACACACACACACACACACACACACACACACACACACACACACACACACACACACACACACACACACACACACACACACACACACACACACACACACACACACACACACACACACACACACACACACACACACACACACATCACTTCCCATTTTCCTCTTGTTCTCATACTGATGCTATACCATGACGGACAGGCTGTTATGAATTTTAATGTGTTTATGTGTGTGTGTGTGTGTGTGTGTGTGTGTGTGTGTGTGTGTGTGTGTGTGTGTGTAACGTTTGGTGGTCTCCCTTGCTAATAAACTAAGTACCCATGTATCGTTAACCTCTAATGTCTCGTTATTCTCCTCCCTCGTTGAACAGTTCGACAACGCGACGCTGGTGAACGACATCGCCTTGTTGCAGCTCGTCAGGTCCGCCCGGAGGAAGGCGAACATTGACGCTGTGTGCATGCCGAAGAAAAACGACTTCCTGGAGGGCGGCACTTCAAGATGCTACGTGACTGGTTGGGGCAGGAGAGACGAAGGTGGGTGTGGGAGGAGTGTGTGGGTGTGGGAGGGAGTCTGAGAGGGTGCGGGTGGGAGTGTAGGAAGAGGAGGAGGGAGTGTGGGAGAAAGGGGGAGTAGTAACATGAGAGGAAGGTTTAGGAGAGACAAAGGTAAGAGGGAGGGGTGTGGGAGGGTCACGAGGTACGAAGGTTAGAGAAAGAAAGAGAGAAGACATGGAGGAGGAAGAAAGGGAGGGGGGAAGGTAGTTTGAATGAAGGTGTAAGAGAAATGAAGAAGAAGAAGAGAGAGGGGTTAAAGAAGATACCATGATACACAGGAGAGAGAGAGAGAGAGAGAGAGAGAGAGAGGCCCACAGAAATGATGGATCGATTACATGGTCAGGGAAACACCAAAGCCCGCCCGCGTCTTCCCCACAGCTCCTGACGGGGCTGACGGAGGTAGGAAGGTAATGGGTACAGTCTTGTTCCCACTGTGGAATCTGTCCAAACCTATACTGTAACCCACTGACTTACCCACACCAACTGAAAACAACCCACTGTAGCCCGACCACACCTACTGTAACACACCCACACCTACTCAAACATACCCACACCTACTGTAACACACCCACACCTACACATAAACAAACAAGCAAAGCAAACACACACACATACACACACACACACACACACACACACACACACACACACACACACACACACACACACACACACACACACACACACACACACACAATGTAATTTATTAAGTTATTGAATGACTACGTGGAATCGAGGACGGCTTTTACATGAATGTGTACGTATGCAAATACACACACACACACACACACACACACACACACACACACACACACACACACACACACACACACACACACACAGTCTATGCCAATGTATGTGTACGTGTTTGTGTGACTAAGTGCATAAGTAAACACACACACACACACACACACACACACACACACATTCACCTCTCGTATATAATCTAAATTTTACATATGATAGAGCCAGGGTCTAGTTACTCCCTCCTGGGCTGGTAACACACACGAACCTCGGTACTGATAAACCCCCTCCTAGTGTATTATTAAAGCGTTCCTTTGATGTGAGTCAACCAGGAGCTCGCTGTGCCTTCCTTCATTATTCAGTAGTTGAAAATTTGCCACCGTCACACAGGTGGACCCGTCGAGCGAGAGCCCAAACATTATGGGGAAGCTCATATCAGGGACTCAAAGTTGACCGTGTGTGTGTGTGTGTGTGTGTGTGTGTGTTACGCCCTGTTTGTGAAATTGTCCAGGAAGTTATTTTGTCCACTTCATGAACCGGACATTGTAACAAAAGGGGCGCCCCATAATATATACTTTACGTCAAATAAATGTAACTCCAATCGTAATGACCTATTGAGGCAATCGTACTAAGGGGTTAAGTCATTATCACCAGGGGGCTAAGCCATTGTATTCAAGGGTTAAACTATCGAACTCATGATATTAAACCACCGTACTCAAGGGGTTAAGTCATCGTACTCAAGGGGTTAGGTCATTGTACTCAAGGTGTTAAGTCATCGTACTCGAGCTGTTAAGTCATCGTACTCACGGGTTCAAGTCACCTTACTAACGGGGTTAATCACATCCTTCACTACAAACACCACAACAACACAACACAAAGGTCATGTTATCACACCTGTGGCTTGGCATCGTGTCGCTGTGAGTGCCACTGGGTGATGTTACAGTACAGGAAATTGGTAACTAATGAGCAGACTGTAACGTTTGCCTTTCCATCTCCTGCGTAAAACGAAAAAAAGTCTCCTGAACATTTTTGCCTGTGTGTGTATGTGTGTGTGTATGTGTGTGTATGTGTGTGTGTATGTGTGTGTGTGTGTGTGTGTGTGTATGTGTGTGTGTGTGTGTGTGTGAATCTTGTCTACACGATAATATCTCTTAACTGGTTTGGAATATCAGCTTCAAACTCATACAGTGACAAATTTATGGATCTGCGCCTGACGAATGTTCGCCCGCCATTCCACGTCTTTATGAGAGTAGTGTTTATTTTGTTTTACAGTAATTATGGGTTTTATTAAGGGTTTATTACTTTGTTTATTCATACTTCATTGTTTTACGATTGTTATGCAAATGCAGATTATTTTGGCTATGCACGTATTCCTTTACTTGAGGGGCTTACTGTTCTTGAGGGTAATAAAAGTCTTTTGAGAGGGAAGTTCTTAATTTTTATGTCATTTAATTCTTTCTGTAAACTATTATTTATGTTGAATTCATTATAAGAAGGACCAAAACAGCTAACGTTTGTTTACATACGTGTGTGTTGATGTTGCCAGTTAGTAAATTGTATCTGTCGCTCAACTTTAGCGAGACGCTATTTTTCGTTCTTTTTTAATCCGGATTCATTGTTTGTTTTGTGTTATTGTGTCAAAGCTTTAGTGACCTGTGTACGCGATGAGATGGTACACACACACACACACATTCTGTCCTCACAATATAAAGTACTTAACTTCTAAATAGGTCAGTTCTTTCATTACTTCCTTCCTTCCTTCCTTCCTTCTTTTTTCTTTCTTTTCCTCTTCGTCTTTTTAATATCCGCCCCTGAGTAAGCCTCGTCCACACCAGAGGTCGTGTGTGGGTAGTGGTGGATCTCTCTCTCTCTCTCTCTCTCTCTCTCTCTCTCTCTGTTATTATCTTCAGTCCTTCTTACCTCCCTTCTTCATTCCTACCTTTCCTACTTATCTATTTATTTCATCTATTCCTTCCTTAATCCCTTCCTTCTCTCCTTAGTTTCATTCTCACCCTCCTTCACGTAATTACTTAATTTGTCCCCTTCCTTCCCTGATTCCTTCATTTTCTCCGTGTTTTCCTTCTGTATCTACTTCCTTCCTTCCTTCTTTCCTTCAATAATTAGTCATTTATTTGCTCAATCACTCTTTCCTTCTTCCTTCCTAATTTTCTCCTTCATTTCTCCTTCCTCACAACTCGATTAGTCAATTCCTTCATCTCTCAAGACTTTTTGGATAAAGAGAGAGAGAGAGAGATGTTAATATTAATCTCATCTTCGACTAACACCTCTACCTGTTCGTCTCCACAGCGTCGGAACACAGCGTGGTACTGAAGGAGATCAACGTGCCCCTATGGAGTAACCCCACCTGCCAGAACGCCCTCAGAGAGCAGTTTGGGCCCGCCTACTCCCTACCCACCACCGCCCTCTGTGCCGGGGCTGAGGGGCGCGACGCTTGTGACGTGAGTATGGGGGAGAGCTGAGGGAGGTTCTTGTCTGCTGGGGGAGGATTTATCTGTTAATTTAGGAGAGCTTACCTGTTGGACGAGGACCTACCTGCTGGAGGAGGACCTACCTGCTGGAGGAGGACCTACCTGCTGGAGGAAGACCTACCTGCTGGAGGAAGACCTACCTGCTGGAGGAAGACCTACCTGCTGGAGGAAGACCTACCTGCTGGAGGAGGACCTACCTGCTGGAGGAGGACCTACCTGCTGGAGGAAGACCTACCTGCTGGAGGAAGACCTACCTGCTGGAGGAGGAACTATTTGCTTCAGGAAGAAAAGTTTAAAATATCTTAATGGTAACAGCCAGAGAGGAATATGTGTGAAAGGGGAGAGACTGAGAGGAAGAAGAGGGAGAAGGATGAGTGGTGTGAAGGAGAGGGATGAGTGGTGTGAGGGAGAAGGATGAGTGGTGTGAAGGAGAGGGGTGAGGGGTGTGAGGGAGAAGGGAGAGGGGGTGAGTGGTGTGAGGGAGAAGGATGAGTGGTGTGAGGGAGAGGGGTGAATAGTGTGAGAGGGAGAGGGATGAGTGGTGTGAGAGAGAGGTATGAGTGGGCGTCTAGGAAAGAATAATGTTGACTCGGACAGTATCTTGAGAAGGTCGGTGTATTGCGTTGCTGTGTGTGTGTGTGTGCGTGGATTTCCTCTTCTGTTTTTCGTTTCCTTGTCTGTCACCTCTTCTTTTTCCTCTCTTTTAATCCTGTCCATTCTCCTCCTCCTCCTCCTCCCTTTTTTCTTCTTCTCTTTTTCCTTCTCTTTCTCTAATTCCTTCTTTCCTCTTCATACCCATTCCTTCTCTTCCTTTCTTTTCCTCTTCTTCCTCCCATTCCTTCAACTATTCCTTCTTCTCCATCCTCCTTCCATTCCTTCTTCTCCCCCCCCATTCGTTCTTCTTCCCTCCTCTTCCTTCTAATTTCTCTTCTTCCCCCCTTTTCTCCTTCCATTCCCTCTTCCCCTACTCCTTCTCCTCCTTCCATTCCTTCCATTCTTTCTTCTTTATCCCTTCCTCCTTCCATACCTTCTCCCTCCTCCTCCTCCTCACCTCCTCACACCTGACACCCAAAGTGTTATAACTCGACCCCAAGGGAGTTGGACTTCTCGTCTTCGGTAAATCGATCCTTCTGTTGGCGGGGTTTGCTCTCTCTCTCTCTCTCTCTCTCTCTCTCTCTCTCTCAGTATTCCATTAGGATGAGCATATAGCCTTATCGTCGTCCTTCCCTATGGCTTCGCGTATGTACACAGGTGCAGTAAACACCGCCTGTTTGACCGGGATATTTTAGTAGCTGCAGTTGAAGAGTCGTGTATATTTAATATCTTTGTATTCGTTATATAAATGTGTATGGTGTTTATGTGTTAATATTTTTGTGATACGTGATTTATGACGTGTGTATGTATGGTAATTTTTTGGTCAGTGTCCTCCTCCTCCTCCTCCTCCTCCTCCTCCTCCTCCTCCACTGTGTTGTTTTTGTAATTTTCTTCATTTTCAGTGTTTATTTTTTCTTCTTCTTGTTGTTTTGTCTCTGTCTTTTTTTCAGTGTTAGGTTCCCTGTTTCCTTTCTTTTTCCTCATTTTATTTTCCTTCCTTCTCTTCTTCTTCAGTCACTTCTTATTCCTCTCTTGCTTATGGTTTTATTTCCCTGCCTCACCACCCCTCACTTTCCCAGGGTGACGGCGGAGGACCTCTGGTGTGTGAGAAGGACAAGCACTGGTACCAGGTGGGCGTAGTGAGCTTCGGCATCGGCTGCGGCAGGAGAAACATCCCCGGCGTGTACACCCGCGTCGACGCCTTCGAGGACTGGATCAAGGACACCATCGGTATCCACCACCACGCGTAGAGGAGGGCGAGGCTACCAAGGGAGGGCAAGAGAGATCGGGAGAGGAGACAGAGGGAGGCGTAAGGAAGTCATGGTGATGTAAGAGGTCCTCGTCGGGTAGACCTCAGGTTCGTATAAGAAGCAGCGGCAGCACAGAGTAACCCACTGAGAGACCCGCTGCTACTGACGGTCATGTGTCACCCAGCTCTTCACTGACGCTCTCTTATGATCAGAGCATAAGGTGACATCCTGCCCCAGCCCTCACGAGTAAAGGACACCGAATGGGACTCTCTGGGGTAGGTTTTAAGGAAGGTCCAGAGAGGTGACGAGGGCTAAAATAATACACCATGGACCCCAACTTCTCCACCAACAGCCAGGCGCCCTAATGTGGCCGCCGCCGTTGTCACTAAGGGACTCTTCTTAATGTGACGTCACTCGCTCCCTGACTGACCAAAGACTATATACGTAAGATAGAAAAGAATCCCTCGACTTGTGATTGGATCAACCAACAAACGAACGTACAAATAGTGAAGTTTTGTTGGAAACCCGCTAGATGGCTCCGTCAAGGTTTGTCGTCTGACAGCGCGTATACGAGTATAATATAATGCTTGGGAGATTCAGCATAACTACAGTATTTTATTATTCATCTAAACATATGGCTGAACAAGATAACAATTGACATCTTGAAGTATCTAGCAACCATACTCATCTGGAAATATCTGGCCTCTGTAAAGGTAGATAAACTGTGGTGGATTTTCAATAGATGGCGCTACTTTCCTATCTTCCATATATAGTCTTTGTTGACAGACGTCACTCATACTTTAACTAGTTACATAATCGGTAACAGGCCAGGCAGTAACTGTGGCCTCAAAAATGGTGAGGGCGTCGCGTCCTTGAGACCGATATTACTTCGTTCACAAATGGAAATGTTGAAGTACAAAGTTAAACTAGACGGACCGGTTCATCTTGTACAGATTATCATGTTTGCTTTCGACTACATCATGATTATTAAGTTACTCACCGCCATCTGCCTCTGGCTAGTCCTCAACATTTTCAGAATTATGTGTAAGGTCGTTTTTGAGTCTCAAGGACTACAGGTATTGGTTAAAAACTATTTGAGTATAATGCTTTAAATATTGTGAAGGTACAACACGATGATATTAGGCTTATATATATATATATATATATATATATATATATATATATATATATATATATATATATATATATATATATATATATATATATATATATATATATATATATATATATATATATATATATATATCACAGTATTGTACCTTTACTTTAAAATGTCTCCTAAAGTTTGCTCCGACATTGGTTACTTAAATTAGATCTCCGAGGTGCTTGTAACCACCTGTGACCCTCCCTCCCTCCCTCCATCGGTGTAATCTTGTCTCTTCTCATCGTTACAAGTGCACGTGTTTCCCCCTCCCTTTTTCATCATTGCTTCCTGTGTCCCTTCTTTTTGTTCTTTCCCGTTTGCTTTTCTCCTCTGTTTTCTATTCCCTTCCTTCATCTCCATCATCTTTCCCTCTACCACCCACATCTTTATCGTCCTCTCCTCTCTCCACTTCAAATAGAAAATATCCCGAAAACGAAAATAACAACAAAAATATATCCTCAGCGTTCTTCCCCTTTCTTGCTTGTCACCATCTTCGTTACGCCGTTGCAAGATTAATCTCACTTTTGTAATTAAATACTAAACTTCTATGTGCAATACTGTTGAACAATGACATTGATAAACTGAGCATCAGGTGCCATATACTCGTGACACTCAAGGAAAGACTTCACACTTAGATCTGAATCTCCCTAGAAGGATCTGAATTCCTTTAAACAGACTCTGAATCCCTTAAGTACGATCCGAATCCCTTAAGTAAGATCTGGATCTATTCAGTAGGATCATAAGTACTGCCGCTGCTCTACCTAGCCCGTGTTCGCTTCCAGGGCATGCTGTATGGGTGCCCGGCACAGTTGTGGTTTGTATGGTAGAAGAACATAACCCAAGTGACCCGATACCAACCTGACGGGCAGCTAGCCAACAGGGAGAGTCATCAGATATTTCTTAAAGCTTGGAATAATTATTAGAATACGTTTTACTAAGATTAAAAACAAAAGAGGAAAGGAAGGTATGAGAAAATCTGAAAATATTTATTATTTCGGGAGCCAAGACCAATATTGGCTGTTGGTAGTTACGTAAGCTGCTGACTCGACCATCACTCAAGAGCCACCAGTGTCAACATCTTCTCTACTCCAAACCTTTAGTAAGAATATATAATTGTCCCTTTAACTCGTTTTCTTTGGGGTTCTAACACTGTTTTGGGACTGAAGTGTGATGTCTAATCTTGCATGGCACTTTGAAATGACTTTTTTTTTGTTCCATGAAGCTCTTTGCGAATGAGACAGTTTCGATCCACAATGAGACTGCTTCGTTTCATTTAGTCCCGAATGTATTAAATCACTTTAAAGTCATTTCATAATTTAGATTTTTGAGAACAAGTCTTTTTCAAATTAACAATGAAATGTCTTGGTTTAATGTTCTATGAATCTTCCATGGCACTCTAAATGAAACTCTTCTGAACAAGAACAACTTCGACTCATGTATCACGAAACTGTTTCATATTATTTAATGTTATTTAGCTTCCAGATCGTCAACAGGTTTATGACTTGGAGCTGGAGTTAGTCAAGATGTAAAAAATTGCTGTCCATTGACTATTGTACAGTATAACAGCACAGGGTTGGCATGTTGTGTATTCTCTGACCCCCCACACACACACACACACTCATTCAAATCAAAGCCCAGGATGCTAAAAAAAAAAAAAAGAGAAAAAAAATCCACGGACATGACGTGTGCTAATTGGCCCACATCCACCATGACGGGCGCTGATTGGTCCTTGTCCACCATGACGTGCTCTGACTGGTGGCCAAGGACCAAACAATACATATAGTAGTAAGCAAGGACCAATCAGTGCACTCCCTTCCCTCATACGCGTGGATTCAGCCATATTTCTTCCAGGACTATCCTTACCACCTTCCATACCCTGCTGGAATGGTAGACGGCATAAAACATGTTAGCTTAAGCCATAAATTTATTATTATTATTATCATCATTATTATTTTCTATTATTATCATTATATAATCGAATAGATGAAATATATATGTATGTGTGTCGTTATGTAGAAGAAAATTTGGACTGTATCCTACTGTAGTGTTTTATTCTGTATTTGGTGTTTGTCTGCATGAATGTCTTTTACCAGCATCAAAAACAGTCAACGAATTTCAGTATATGTACAGTATTTCTCATGATCAAAGACGCAGAGATCAGAGCAGACATATTGAAACTCCTGATACAGATCCACTAATCCACCCCATTGGGCATCATCGTGTGACGTAGTAGAATTGCGTTGTTTTAATTGGTGCAGACTAACTAAGATGATGCTATGGAGAAGTTTTGGCAACGAGAGGAGGCAAAATTCTTAAGATTAATGTATTTGTATAGGAAATCGTTCTTCCCTGTACCTTTAGCCATTGGTTCGCTTCGTGGGTGATATTAGGCGATCATTGGTTTATCAGAACCTGTCGTGTATGCAGGTAAATCTGGTGAAAAATTTGTACGACCATTGATTTATCTAATGGATGCTAATGGCTGTCATTCCTCCCCTTAGAATGTAAATAGACAGCCATTGATCCTCCTAAAATGACAGCACACGACGATTGGTTCTTCAAGACTGACAAAAGACAGCCATTGGTCGTCCTGAAATGACAGCACACGACGATTGGTTCTTCAAGACTGACAAAAGATAGCCATTGGTCGTCCTGAAATGACAGCAGACGACGATTGGTTCTTCAAGACTGACAAAAGACAGCCATTGGTCGTCCTGAAATGACAGCAGACGACGATTGTTTTTAAGACTGACAAAAGACAATCATTGGTCCGTCAAGATAACAACAAACAACCATTGGTCCTCTACATACCACGTGTCAACCACTGGGCCAGTAATGGAGACAAGGGAACGTCTTATAAAACAATGTCAAGATAATATTATGTTCACTGTCGTACATGAACACTATCAGACCATCACCCTCACCCATCACCACCTGACTCTCTCATTCACCATCATCTTCATTATCCAGCTCTTGATATGTATTGTACAGTTTTGTATTAAATAAATAAAATATTCGACTTTCATGAATATCTCTTACTTATCCCTCAAGTTATGTGTTTATGTATACAGGCATATTGTATATTCCCTTCTGTAATATACTGTACATGTAGAAATAATGTAGAGAGACCAGTGCAAAGTTACTCTGGCGTCAGAAAAGGGCATCAGAATTGGGAGTTTTTCCTTGTTTATGCTTTTATAAGTCAGAACCGAGCGTGAGATGCAGCCAAGGCGAGAGTCAGGAAGGACGGAGGCTTAGCAAAATGGGATAACGGAACTAGCTTGAGCAGCCACCCTCACACTTCATCAAGGTAAAGTGTCTACAAAAGACTTGTGAAGTCAAATGAGAGTTCATGTATGTGGTCGTTGTAATGGACGTTATCACAAGGCCTGTTCTGAAAGCTCTTATTTCTATATTAATGTACAAGCAAGTGCTACATACTTATATAAATTAATCCATAAAATATACTTACAGTACTGTAGTTTGACAATGCCAGAATACTATTATCTCAACCTTATTGTCTTCTATTTTAACAATTTACCCAAAAAAAAAAAAAAGCTTTTATTGTTTCAAAGTGTTTTGTATTTTTTTTTTCTATTTTAATCTAAGGATGCCGTGAATTTTTATGTGCCAATTGTACAGTACACTGGTTGGCGTGTTTTACGAGATGTGGTACCACTGTGTTTGCTTACATCGTATTGAAACTCCCTGAATGGCCCTAAGGAACCTCGCAATAGCTGCTGCCACCTACTGTGCACCTTTCCCTTAACCTACATAACTCTCTCCACCTTCCCTCGTACACCCAGATCTGTGATGGCTGGCAATTACTCTCCATATTAGAGGGTGACTGAGGCGTGACGGAGGGGCAAGAGAAGGGACGTGGATTTCCAGAAATTCCCAGGTAATTTTTGTTTTTGTTAGTCAGTTAGTTTTCTCGGAACTACAATTTTTAAAGCGGAGAATTATCCCACAAACCTCTGAGAATCCAACTTTGTGTCGTGGCATACGTGAGCTAATAAGAGACGACGCGTATCAGCAAAAAGGAGAAAAAAATAAGTAAACACCCAAATCAATGAGCTTGGGGTAGAATTCTTCAAGCCTCATACATTAATTTCGCCATTCTAATAGATGATGTGAGAATGTCTCTTAAATGTCTCCCTTCAGTTGCACACAAGAGGATTTTCGGAGATTTGTGCAATATATTCTTGCTGCAAACTGGACCTTTTCCGATGCTTAGTAATGTGTTATAAACGAATCTGACCTTCATTTCTAGCGCAAATCATTTGTTTCTGAGATAACTCCTTCCCTTCTCAGAACCTAGAGATTTTCTTTAAAAATCTAGGTAAAAATTGTTCAAAACACATCAAAAACAATCGGGGAAAAAGTATTGAATCTAACCTAACCTAACCTAACCTGGGGCCCAACAATCGTTCGATGTTCTGGGCGTGTGCCGCCATATAAGAACATACATAATAAAGCGTTAAATATCTCGCTTCTCTGTAATTTGCGCCAGAAATGGCATTGACGAAAAGTGTCTTATTATTGTCAAAATTACTGATTGTAACTATACATTTCCCGAGATTCGTTTAGTGGTAACAAGTGAAATAATACCGTTTTGGTTAGGCTGGGTTTGGTTCTTGCCTATTTGCCCGCCGTTTTTGAAAAGTTTACGCGTCTAAAAATTCAAGCACTAATCATAACATTCGTACACATTGAAAATAACTCTCTAGGCACATCATTAATTTATTCCACAATAGAAACCCGTACCTACGTCATCATTTGTGTACTGGAATGCTTTCTGGGGTCGAGTCAACGGCGTCACAGCTGCAGTTATTATTAGCTACCAGTCGATGATAAGAAAATTGGGAAATTTGATCGGAAATTATACCATAGTTTATTCCAATTTTGTCTCCTCCCATTTTTACAATTTGTTGCCTCAGCGTCAAACAAAGATAAAGGATTTTTCTCAGTGTGACCCCTTCAGTGTTGATGGTTAAGA